AGCCAGGAGTCAGGGGCTTCTTCCAGTTCTCCCATATGGGTGGCAGGGGCCCAAGGACTTGGGCCATCCTCCACTGCTTTCCCAGGCCATTTGCAGGAAGCTGGATCTGAAGTGGAACAGCCGGAATGTGGCTTTCCCCACTATGCCACAATGCTGGCCCCCAGACTTCTAATCTTGATGTGACTTGTCCAATGTCACTCAATGATTTACCTGCAGACCTGGGGTAAAGATCTCTTCACTCCTTTAATGTAACTGTAAAGGGGCACCCAAGGTAGACACTATTGAAACAGGGATGAACAAGAGGCAACTCTTGGGCCTCTCCCCCACTCTCCACTGTGGAGGGCCTCTGTTCTCTGCTTGGGACACCACAGCAAGGGAGGCAGGCAGAGAGCACAAACAGCTCCCCTTTCTCAACAGGCTGGGCTGCCAGGGCGCTCTCAGCATGGAAGTCCCCTGTGTCCAGAGCACATTGCAAGCCTAGCCCAGGCGGGTCCTGGAGAGGACAATGCACCCCTGGGCCTCAGCAGCTGTTGTCCAATGGGAAGCAGGCACGTACAGCCACTGTGGAAGACAATATAAAGATACCTCAGAAAGCTGAAAATAGATCACTATAAGCTCAAGGAATCCCACTCCTGGGAATTTACCCAAACTAAATGAAATCAGCATATAAAAGAGTTATCTGGGGGCTGGTCCTGTGGCACAGTAGGTTAATCCTCTGCCTGAAGCACCAGAACCCCATATGGGGGAAGTTTGAGTCTCAGCTGCTCTTCTTCTGATCCAGCTCTCGGCTGTGGCCTGGGAAAGCAGTAGAGGATGGCCCAGGTGCTTGGGCCCCTGCATCCACATGGGAGATCCAGAAGAAGCTCCTGGCTCCTGGCTTCAGACCAGTGCAATTCCAGCCATTGTGGCCATTTGGGGAGTGAACCAGCAGATGGAAGAGCTTTCTCTCTGTGTTTCCCTCTTTCTATCTGTAATTCTACCTCTCAAATAAAGAAAATCTTTATTTAAAAAAATGAAATCCTGTCTTTCGCAACAAAACAGATACAACTGGAAATTATTATACTTAATGAAATATGCCAGTCCCCCAAAGACAAAAACTATATGCTTCCCCTGATCTGTACCAAAAAATTATGGGTACCAAAAAAATGTAACATATAATTGGGATTACATCAAATTGAGAACTTTCTGTACTGCAAAAGAAACAGTCAGGAAAGTGAAGAGGCAACCAACAGAATGGGAAAAAATATTTGCAAACTATGCAAAGATAAAGGATTAATAACCAAAATCTACAAAGGGATCAAGAAACTCCACAACAACAAAACAAACAACCCACTTAAGAGATGGGCCAAGGAACCTCAATAGACATTTTTCAAAAGAGGAAATCCAAATGGCCAACAGACACATAAAAAAATGTTCAGGATCACTAGCAATCAGGGAAATGCAAATCAAAACCACAATGAGGTTTCACCTCACCCCAGTTAGAATGGCTCACATACAGAAATCTACCAACAAAAGATGCTGGCGAGGATGTGGGGAAAAAGGGACACTAATCCACTGTTGGTGGGAATGCAAACTGGTAAAACCACTATGGAAGTCAGTCTGGAGATTCCTCAGAAACCTGAATATAACCCTACCATTCAACCCAGCCATCCCACTCCTTGGGATTTACCCAGAGGAAATTAAATTGGCAAACAAAAAAGCTGTCTGCACCTTAATGTTTATTGCAGCTCAATTCACAATAGCTAGGACATGGAATCAACCTAAATGCCCATCATCTGAAGACTGAATAAAGAAATTATGGGATATGTACTCTATAGAATACTATACTGCATAAAAAAAATTAAATCCGGTCATTTGCAACAAAATGGAGGAATCTGGAAAACATTATTCTGAGTGAAATAAGCCAGTCCCAAAGGGACAAATATCATATGTTCTCCCTGATCGTTGACAACTAACCGATCACCAAAAAGGAAACCTGTTGAAGTGAATGGACACTATGAGAAACAGTGACTTGAGCTTCAATGATTGTTTACAGCCCTTGTCTCTACTGTTGAATAAAGGGAAAGAATGAGAAAGGAAGGAGGAGGGGGATGGGAATGTAGGTGGGAGGGAGGGTAGGGTGGGAAGCATCACTATGCTCTTAAATCTGTGTATATGAAATACATGAAATGTGTTCACCTTAAAAAAATCTTTTTAGGCCGGCGCCGTGGCTCACTGGGCTAATCCTCCACCTTGCGGCACCGGCACACCGGGTTCTAGTCCCAGTCGGGGAGCAAGATTCTGTCCCGGTTGCCCCTCTTCCAGGCCAGCTCTCTGCTGTGGCCAGGGAGTGCAGTGGAGGATGGCCCAAGTGCTTGGGCCCTGCACCCCATGGGAGACCAGGATAAGTACCTGGCTCCTGCCATCGGATCAGCGCGGTGCGCCGGCCGCAGCGCACCGGCCACGGCGGCCACTGGGGGGTGAACCAACGGCAAAAGGAAGACCTTTCTGTCTCTCTCTCTCACTGTCCACTCTGCCTGTCAAAAAAAAAAACTTTTTAAATCTTTTTAAGAATAATGGCAGTTCATCCCTCTGAACTGCCATTGCTATGCAGCTTCATCACCAATATATCCTGTGGGAGGCAGGAAGAATTGAAGAGAAACATTTTAGAAATTGTTGATAGAATTTTATGAGACATCAAGCAATTATCAATGAAAGTCTTTCTACTTCCCTTATAAGTCCAAAACAAAAATTCCATATTCATACTCTGGTAGCAAAAAAAAAAAAAAAAATCCCAGCCTCTCTCAATGCATGTTTCCTATGAATGTACCCACAAATTGTTTAAAGAGAATAGCAGGAGTCCCAGCATGAGAGCCAGAACTATGAATAAAAAGCAGATGTGTCTAGGGCCAGGCCTTCAGGGACTCTCTGTGCATACAGGATCAAGATATCTCATGAGAAGTAAGCCACTCTAGGGAAGGATGAATTAAGACACACACACTTGGTTTCTTCCCAGGAATACTGGGGGAGGAAATGACAGCGGTTGGATTTCCTCAAACTGTAGTACAGGCTGAGCCACAGGAACATGTTTTATTATTTATTATAATAATAATAATTATTATTATTATTATAACTGCATGTGAGGTCTGGGGGAAAGCAGGTTACATGTTATCAGAACAACTTAAATTTTGTGGAAATATTTATTATCTTGGGCATATAAAACACTATAGGAAAAGAAAATACATATTCTCCAAATAACACTCCAAGTGTGTCACTTTTACATTCAAAAAGCTCCCACAGGGGCAGGTATTTGGTGTAGCTGTTGAGACAATGCTTGGAACACCCACATCCCATATGGGAGTGCCTAGGTTCCAGTCCCAGTTCTACTCTCCATTTCATCTTCCTGAAAATGCACACCCTGGAAGGCAGCAGGTGGTGGCTGAAGCGTTCAGGTTCCTGCCACTCCTGTTGGAGTCCCAGTTTGAGTTCTGAGCCCCTGGATTTGGCCTGTACCAGTCATGGCTGTTGCAGCTATTTGGGGAGTGAACCAGCAGATGGAAGATTCTCTCTCTGTCTCTCTCTCTCTCTCTCTGCTTTTCAAGTAAAATGAAAAAAAAAATCCACAGATCAATCAGGCAATCTACATTTAAAAAATTCAAATCCTTTTTACTTAGCTATTGTCCTTTTGGGGAACTAACAGAAGAATATGAACTAAATTATGGAAAATTTTCATATCCTAATGATGTTCACAGCAAGGCCATTTGTGACATATAAAAAAAAAAAACTATGGGCCAGCGCCGCGGCTCACTAGGCTAATCCTCTGCCTAGCGGCGCCGGCACACCGGGTTCTAGTCCCGGTTGGGGCGCCGGATTCTGTCCCGGTTGCCCCTCTTCCAGGCCAGCTCTCTGCTGTGGCCAGGGAGTGCAGTGGAGGATGGCCCAGGTGCTTGGGCCCTGCACCCCATGGGAGACCAGGGAAAGCACCTGGCTCCTGGCTCCTGCCATCGGATCAGCGCGGTGCGCCGGCCGCAGCGCGCCGGCCGCGGCGGCCACTGGGGGGTGAACCAACGGCAAAGGAAGACCTTTCTCTCTGTCTCTCTCTCTCACTGTCCACTCTGCCTGTCAAAAAAAAAAAAAAAAAAAAACTGTGATTCCTACTTCCTAACTGTATACCTCACTGCCAGGTCCTGTGGCCACCAAGTCTTGATACACAATGAAACAAGGCTTGACTTCGACATAAGGTTCAAGAAAGACAAGGTATATACAAGAACTTAACAAGCATTTGTAAGTCCATCTACTGCTTGAAAAACATAAAAATACAACCATCTCGTATTTGGGAGAAATAAAGTGAAAGTGGAAAAATCAAGGGCTTTCAACGTACATATACACCTAGGTTTTGAAAAATCACCTGTGCAGTGAACCTTGAACTAGTACAGTTGCTACCACTCTGTCACAGAGGAACTCCTGGGTAAAACAGCCTGCACCTGTTCTCTGCTCCTACCCGTAAGCCATAATGTGCCAGACTACAGCTTAATAGAAACAGGAAACAAGTATGATCACTGCTTGATTTGCATTTTGTGAGTAATAAGGAGAATGCAGCCCATGTAGTAAGTGCCAGGAAAATCAAGCACTGAGTAAATGGAAGTATTATTCTTATCATGATTATTGTTATTAAACAAACAATTCATACATGTATGGCCACATAGAGCTTATATAAAGTGCACCCAGTTCCTACAATGATCCTGTAAGAGAAAAATGAGGTTCACAGAAGCTGGTCATCTGTCCAGGTCCATACTGCTCACAAGAGCTGGCATTAGAGACCTGACTGCCATGGGAGGCCTTTCCCCATGGCAGTGCTCTCTGAGTCATGATGATATCTTCTAGCCTTCTCTCCAGCATGGACATTATAGTTAAGTTCCAATATCTAGTTTACCCAAAATGGTTAATCTGGAAATTGACACTGCTGGTCCCTTTGTAGGTGATGGATAGGTTTAGGGAAAGGGCAGAGACCCAATTCTTACCAACAACTTGAAGAAGAATCTTCTGGAAGCCCCAGGGATTGGTTCCCTTGCTGCTGAGGAGACATGGAGATGTCATCTCTGTCTTCCACATACAGTTCCTGTCTTAGACTGACTCTCTAAACTGCTGTAGCCATCTTGGGCCCACAAGGAGAAGGAATCAGGTTGAAAATGAGATCAATATATGGCCACACAGAGCCAAGAAAATCAGAAAGAAGGAAACCCAGAGCGCAGACGTTCTACTCCTGGACTTCCTACTACATGAGGGAATTCTTGGCCTTATGATTGAAACCAGGCCAAGTCCATCTGAGTCCCTTACACCCAAAAATATCCTGCTGGATATATTATCTACTCACGCCACTCACATATCAGACCCGGTACTCATAGTCTATCCCTATGCAGCAGCTCCCTATCTTCACATATGGAGCTTTGTAAGTTCACAGTAGATCTAATTTTGACTTTCTGAATCCTACATGGGCAGAAGAAAAAAGGAGACAATGATATGTCCAGCTGTACAAAGAGAATATGTTGCTGGTTTTCCATCATGTGGCTAACTATAGAAACAGGCGACACCACACTGAGTCCCACTGAAACTTCCGGCCCTGCTCCCACGACCCCCACCCACACAAGTCATAACACAGCTTCACATCTGGAAGCCTGATGATCTTCAGCTGCCTCTCTCTGCCCAGAGAGTGTTATTCTCACACAACCAAGAGGGAAGAAAGAGGGAGGAGAAGGAAGTGGGGATTTCATCAGGGAATGGAGTCTTTTCTTCCCAGGGCAATACTGATGATTTTGCTAAAGCATCCAAAGTTACCCAGGCAATGTGTTACTTTGCCAATTCACACTTCAAGTTCTTTTTCAAAAACTATAGGTAAAGGACCCGCATTATGGGACAGCGGGTTAAGCCACTGCCTGCAAGACCGTATCCCATATGGGTGCTGGTTCAAGTCCCAGATGCTCCACTTCTGATCCAGCTCCCTGATAATGCACCTGGAAAAGCAGCGGAAGGTGGTCCAAGTGCTTGAGGCCCTGCCACCCATGTGGAAGACCGAACTTCCTGGATCCTGGCTTCAGCCTTGCCCAGTCCCAGCTGATAACAGCAACTGGGGAGTGAACCAGTAGTTCAAAGATATGTGTGTGTGTGTGTGTGTGTGTGTATCTCCCTCTGTAACTGTACCTTTCAAATAAAATAAATAAATCTTTTAAAAAAAAACTACAGAAAAATGTAATCTGTTTAACTGCTCTTTGACAGTGGTTTATTGAGATACTGAGCTTCATTGTACACAAATACCAGGGAACCTTTTCTAACTTCCCCTTCAACCATGCACATTTGATCTGCAGCCTTCTAAAGTTTAGACCAGTCCTTAGAGCTACCGGGCACCATCCTCCACTGAGAAGTAGGCCTTGTCAATACCTAGCAATGTCTCTGATGATTTTAGCCTCAACTTTGATCACCTTATTTCCCATAAGATTCACCTCCAATCCATTTCAGTCATGTATTCCCAAAGCCACACCATCAACCTATCATCACAGGTGCCAGCCACCACTTCTAAAATCTACAGTTGTTGTGACAATTAAGCATCCTTCTCTATCCCAAGCTTCTATCCTCCACAAGTCTCCACCTCCCTAACACCTATTGAACCTGGTTTTCTTTTTTTTCTTTTTGAAAGATTTATTTATTTATTTGAAAGTCAGAGTTACATAGAGAGATAAGGAGAGGCTGGGTGGGGGGTGAGGGGAGGGAGGGATGGAGAGGGAGAGAGAGAGAGGTCTTTCATCCTCTGGTTTACTCCCCAAATGGCCACAATGGCCAGAGCTGCACCAATCCGAAGCCAGGAGCCAGGAGCTTCTTCCAGGTCTCCCACATGGGTGTAGGAGCCCAAGGACTTGGGCCATCTTTTACCGCTTTCCCAGGCCATAGCAGAGAGCTGGACTAGAAGTGGAGCAGCCAGAACTCGAACTGGCACCCATATGGGATACCAGCACTGCAGGCAGCAGCTTTACTTGCTATGCCACAGTGCTGGCCCCAATGCACCTGGTTCTCAACCACCTTGAGTTCTTAGGACTTTTGTTGCTCTACTTTCTCCTATTCCATCAGCTGGTCCTGCTCTTTTCTTTTTTCTTAGAACTAGAACTCATGGTTCTTTTGTTGGCACCTTCACCCAAGCTACCAATCCCAAATTCCATATCAATTCAACCATTTCCACTCATATAACTGGTAAGGGAAGTTCTGCAAGAGAAAATTGTTCAATCTTGCTGACTAATGGTGCAACACAATTGTGAATTCCAGCAGAAACTAAGGGCCTACTGTGACTCAGTAACAATATGCTTTGCCTGCTCCTTGTGCACACTGGTGATTTGAAATCTTTTGTACTATTTATCCCCCTCATTTTCAGCAGTACAGAAGATGGCAAACAGCTCTGCATCCTTGTGCTGTCACTCAGCTCTGTAACCTCTGGAAAGTGGCTTAACCACTCTGTGTCATTTGTAAAATTGGAGAATAATTCCATTCCACAGAGTTATGATAAGGATTTATCAAGCTACATGCATGAAAGTATTTTTAGCAATGCTTGGAATATAGAAAGTTTCCAAACTCGTTGGCCACCACTTTATAAGGAGAATTGAGCTGGGCTGGGGTTTTTCTCATTTCCTTTCATTCTACTTATTCCTCCAGTTTCTCCATATCCACATGCATCCTTACCTCTTTTCTATTTACTCTCTTCAGTCAGTATCCCTTCTTTTCATTTTATATTTTGAACCTAGGCCTTTCCACTGCATCCTTCTTAGTCTATAAATTTACTTCAGTTTCTCTCCTCTTGAAAGCAAGAGAAAGAATGGAAGGAAGAAAAGAAGGGAAGAGGAAAAAAAGAGCAGGGAGGAAAATCTCCCTCTAGCTTTCCCACCCTTTATGACTACTACCAACTGTTCCCATCCCTTCACAAACCCAGTCTCTTAGGAACCAGTCCACACTGCTTTTTCCCCACTCTTCTTCCTATTCCCACCTCAGTGCAGTGGAATGTGCTTCCTGCCTCCCTTGTACACCACGCAAGCTGTTGTTGACAGTGATCACCAATGGTTCCCAACTGCCAGTTTTTACTCCACTACCCTTAATTAACCAACCTGTCTGTGGCATTTGTCACTGTTGACCTCTCCCATTCCTGAAACCCTTCCCTGAAATTCCACGATAGGCTGTCCTTCCCCACGGACCCCTGCTTCCTCCTTTCTTGCACTCCATTCTCCTCCTACGCTGCTCAAGATTATGCAGCATCATTTATTAAATTATTCAATGAACATATCAAACACTTGCCATTGGTTCAGTTTTCTGTTGCTTACAATAGCATAGACTGGGTAAGTCAGTAAGAAAAGAGATTCATTTGGTCTCACAGTTCTGCTCCAAGGTCAAGAGGCCACATTTAGTGATGGCCTTCTTGCTGGCAGACTCCTGAGTACTGCAGGGCTGCACATGGTGAGAGACAGGGAGTAAGCAAGAGATCCAGCCAAACTGGTTCTTTATAGCACACCTACTCTCCAGATAAAACATTAATTCATTCATTGCATGAATGGATTAATCCATTCATAAGGGCAGAACACTAATCAACTCTGAAAGGTATCACCTCTCTTTTCTTTAATATTTAATGAATGTAGTCATCAGTGTATTACACAGATTAATCATTCTTGACTGGACAAGCTCCAGAGGAGCAACTGGATCCTTAAATATTCACCAGTGCTTCCACCAAGTTAATTTTCACTCTTACATCCAAATAGACCTAAGCAGTTGAAAACATAAGAAAAATAAGAGCGTGTATTAACTGAGAAACCACATACAAACCAAGGAATATGGAGAGAGGATTTTTTAAAGGTTGAAGGGGTGGGGCGATGTAAGAGTTGGGAACAAAGTTTGTCACACTTCACATACTAATAGCTCCAATCCACTTAAATGCTGACCAGTTAAAAGTAGGCCTTCAAGTACAGGGTGTGGATAGAGTTTAATCTGGTTGGACAACACTTTACCTAGGACTTAAGTCCTTCACAATAAAATGAATACAGAAGCAGCTTCGTGTTCTTCACTTTGCCTTTCATAACTGCTGTGGGTTAAGATGGATTCCACTTAAAACCAACCTCCTACAGATCAGTGGAACTTTTCTAGCCAACCACACACCATACCCACCACCCCTCACACCTTGACATTAGTCAGATTTAAGCCAATAAGGAAAGACTTTAGCCTCACACCTAGGTTATGCCAGGAGAGCTGGCTAGAAGGCGATGTTGGTACTGAAGTACAGTATTTCTGGCTTGTTGTTCCAAGTATGTACAACACGTAGCACTGCTGAATAGGTAAACATGTGCAGAGGGGAAGATGAGGTGTGGGCTTATAGAAAGAGTCAAATGGAAATCAAAAGGACTTTCTATTTCAGAGTGCCCTTATCTTTCTTTGTAGAGGTTATCCAATAGTTTTGTTAATTACATTGTGTACTTCTGAGTTCATTCCCGAGCTGTTGTGTTGTAATTTTTTTCTGTTTTGTAGATCCAAGCAATCTCAGGTACTAAAGGATCACATTGATTGGGATCACACAACAGAGAACAGATGGACAAGAGGACTTTTGAAATAGTTATTGCTGGAGACCACTGTGCGCATAGAATATCAGGACAAATGCTGCCATTACTGTTAATATCAGGGTGGTAAATTCTTGCTATAAATGCAACCTTGGGTAGTTTGAAGGGGTAATCCAGAGGGAAATGAAATGTCAAGAAAAATACTCCAATGTGATAGAGACTGTCATTTGGCCCCATATTAGCCTGCCAAGGGAACAGATCATCTCCAACAGGACCTGCTGAACACTGTGCTGCGGTGGGGGTGGGGGTCCTGGGCCAGGTCACTCAATTCCTTGTAAATTCTCTTTAGAGTCATAGTGGGAGGTGGGTAGCAGGGACCCAGCCACCCCCAGCAGTGATGGGGGTGGGACAGGGAAGGAATGAGCGGGCCTGAGGCTGACTTGGGATTGAGGTTGGCAGGAGAGGACCAGGAGTTGGGGTGGTGCAGGTTCAAAGGGATAGGCTGGAAGCCAGGACTCACTCAGCCCCCCGGGCCTGCTACAGCAGTCCAAGGTCTCACCATTATCTCATAATGGGGACTAAGTTTCAATATGATTTGTCAAACCAGACAAACCATAGCAGATACCATCACAGCTGCCCAGATCAACAAAGTAGGAACAGCTGAAGCACTAGTCAAAGGGCAGTACTCACAGTATAGACACAACAACACAGACATATGAAGGGAGTCCTCTGAAACTGTGCAATGGCAGTAATACTGGAAACAAAACACACTCCTGGGGCCGGTGCTGTGGCATAGCAGGTGAAGCTGTCACCTGCAGTGTCAGCATCTGATGTGGACACTGGTTCGAGTCCTGGCAGTTCCACTTCTGATCCAGCTCTCTGCTATGACCTGGGAGAGCAGTGGGAGATGACCCAAGTCCTTGGGCCCCTGCACCTGCGTGGGAGACCTGGAAGAAGCTCCAGGCTCCTGGATTCAGATTGGGCCAGCTCTTGCTGTTATGGCCATCAGGGGAGTGAACCAGCAGATAGAAGACCTCTCTCTCTCTTTCTCTGCCTGCCTTTCTGCAACAGTTGGCCCTGTTAAAAACTCCAACACACAGCAAGATTATTCCAGCAAAAAAAGAAAGGTGCAATGACCAAGACATGACCTGGGTATAGCATGAGCACAGAAGGTTATTCTCCTCAATTCTTTGATCTATTTCATTCCATTCTTTCACTTTCCCCCAGGTAATTAGAGCCAAACTTCTGATTTCAATGGAGTCTATTAGCTCCTTATACACACTTTGGATTTCTTACCTAGAATACAAAAATGCCTGTCAAATATGTCTATCACAGGTCCTTCAAGGCACCAAGCACCAAGAATATAAATAAAAATATTACCCTGAGTCATTCACTGTATTTCCCATCTGCACTGCTTCTCCAAACCTCTAGTTGGTCACTTTCTTGAGCCTTCCTTCAAATTCCATTCAGAAACACTTATCTGAAACACGAGGTAATTTTATTACCAACCCCCCACTCCCATCCTGCTCCTCTGTTTCAAAGCTGCCCAAGCAAAATCAGGCATTCTTAGTGTGGTGTGCAAGATCCTAAAAGCCCTGGCTCCTGCCGCTCCTCTGATGGTATCCAGCGCTCTAGCCACCCACAAACCCCTCGCACACATCAGCCCCACCACAAACTCTGAAGAATCAGGCAGTGCTCTCACCCCGGGGTACTTCCCCACCTCAGTGCCTTTGTACTTACTGTTCTACTGCCTCGTGAATCTCCACATTTCATCCATGGTTGGGCCAACCTAGGTCACACTAAGTGCCTCTGGTTCTGAACTCCCATAGCAAGTGGTCATTCACCCTTCTCTGTCACGCTTTATTAATAAATAATAATAAAATAATAAAAGTTAAGCAGGCTGGTGGCTGGAGGAGATGCTATGCCCTTGCAGCAAGGTGAGAGGAGCCTGCTGCAGCCCGTGTCACTGGTGGTATTTTACCTGAGGGGGAACCTTGTGGACCACGCTGATTTTGAGTTCGTCTTGGAGGCTGGGCAGGGGGGCAGTGTGCCCACCTAACCCCGTGAAGGGAGAGCACATTTCTTTCTCCCCATCCTCCCACAAGGGTACCCAGTAACTAGCAGAGAGAAAACGCCATCTTAGGAAGACAAGTAGAAGCTGCAGCAGCCCAGTTGCAATGCGGGATTTTATCAAATGGATAATTCTGCGATCCCCGCTGACTTTGAGTCTGGCCTAGAGGGCTGGCAAGGGGCAGGATGCCCACTTAGGCCTGTGAAACCCTCCCCTCCCCCAACTCTATCAAGGCACCCAGGTTCAACCAGCCAAGGTGGAGCACCAACTTCTATAAGGTAGGCACCTGGCTCTGGGAACGCCTCAGCTCTCATGGGACTAAGAGCAGATCCCTGCTTCCTGTGACTGTGGGAGCTCTGCACGCTATGACTGTGGGAATTCTGTGATGGTGCAATAGGGCATGGGATGTGGCTGGGTCTCTGGGCAATCACTGTGTCTGACTTCAGGGGCTCAGAGTTCCCTGAGTGCCTATGGTGGGTCACCACGGACAGTTCCACGCTCACACTGAAGAACTCACAGAGCCTCTGGTGGTTCATGTACCTGTGTGGGTGGAGTGTATAGCCACTATGGGCTCACTCTGGGCAGTTGGTTCACCTTGGCAGAGGGGGTGAGGCTGTGATTATGCCAGCAGACACAATCATACCTTCCCCCACCTGCCAACCACAGAGTCTACCATGCCAAAATAGCGTGTCACTCTAGACTCTTGCCTTACCCTCAAGCACTGGCTAGAGCTCCCCGGCCCCACTCAGCACATGCTTCTGGTATCTGCTGAGGGAGCAGACACTCCACTAAGCCACAGAGGCATATTTCAAAGAGAACTGCCCTCAGGAAAAAGAAAGTGTTTCTATAGATGCCTAAAAATAAATGCATAGATACAAGAAAAATGAACAAGGGAGATAATATGAATTTATGAATTCCCAAAAGGAATACAATATTTCAATATTAGAATGTGAAGATGAAGAGACTGATAAAATGCCTGAGAAGGAATTCAAAAGAATGATCATAAGATTACTCAAGGGGTCAGCACTGTGGCATAGCAGGTAAAGCCACCACCTGTGGCACCAGCATCCCATATGGGCACTAGTTCATGTCCCAGTTGCTCCACTTCCAATCCAGTTCCCTGATAATGGCTTGGGAAGGCATTAGAGGATGGCACAAGTGCTTGGGCCCCTGCATCCATGTGGGAGAGCTGGAGATTGTTGGAACTCACAGTGAGTTTGGCAAAGTTGCAGGATATAAAATCAACACTTAAAAATCAATATCCTTTATATACAAAAACAATGCCATGGCTGAGAAAGAGCTTGTAAGATCAGGCCTATTCATGATAGCTACAAAAAATTTAAGTACCTGGTATTAAAGTTAACCAATGGCTGGCGCCACAGCTCACCAGGCTAATCCTCCACCTGCGGTGCCAGCACCCCGGGGTTCTAGTCCCAGTTGGGGCATTGGATTCTGTTCTGGTTGTTCCTCTTCTAGTCCAGCTCTCTGCTGTGGCCTGGGAAGGCGGTGGAGGATGATCCAAGTGCTTGGGCCTTGCACCCGCATGGGAGACCAGGAGGAAGCACCTGGATCCTGGCTTCAGATCAGCGCAGCGTGTCGGCCCTAGCGGCCATTTGGGGGATGAACCAATGGAAGGAAGACCTTTCTCTCTGTCTCTCTCTCTCACTGTCTAACTCTGCCTGTCAAAAAAAAAAAAAAAAAAAGTTAACCAAGGATGTGGAAGATCCCTACAATGAAAATTCCAAAATATTAAGGAAAAAATAGAGGAAGACACCAAGAAATGGAAAACTCTTCTATGTTCCTAGATTGGAAGGATTAATATCATCAAAATGTCCACACCATCCAAAGCAATTTACAGATTCAATGCAATCCCAATCAAAATACCAAGGATGTTCTTCTCAGATCTAGAAAAAAATGACCCTAAAATTCAAATTCATATGGAACCACAAGAGACCCCAAATATCTAAAGCAATTCCTAAACAATAAAAATAAAGCTGGAAGCATTACAATGCTTGACTTCAAAACATATTACAGGGGCTGCCGCCACGGCTCAATAGGCTAATCCTCCGCCTGCGGCACCAGCACACCGGGTTCTAGTCCTGGTCCGGGCGCCGGATTGCCTGGTCCCGGTTGCCCCTCTTCCAGGCCTGCTCTCTGCTGTGGCCTGGAAGTGCAGTGGAGGATGGCCCAAGTGCTTGGGCCCTGCACCCCATGGGAGACCAGGAGAAGCACCTGACTCCTGCCATCGGATCAGCGAGGTGCGCCGGCCGCATTGCACCAGCCACGGCGGCCATCAGAGGGTGAACCAACGGCAAAAGAAGACCTTTCTCTCTGTCTCTCTCTCACTGTCCACTCTGCCTGTCAAAAAAAAAAAAAAACATATTACAGGGTAGTTATAATCAAAATACCCTAATATTGACACGTCTACCAATGGAACAGACTAAAAATCCCCGAAATTAATCCATGCAACTATAACCAACTAATCTTTGACAAACAAGCTAAAATCACTCCCTGGAGAAAAAATATACTCTTCAACAAATGGTGTTGGAGAAATTGGATCTCTGTATCAGAAGTATGAAACAAGAGCCCTACCTTACACCGCGTATAAAAATCAATTCACAGTGGATCAGGGATCTAAATCTCAGACCTAAAACCATTCAATTACTACAGGAAAATATGGCAGATACATTGCAAAGCATTGGCATAGGCAAAGACTTCTTGGATAAGACCCTAGTAGCACAGGCTAAAGGCAAAAATAAATAAATGGGATGTCCAGCCAGGAAGGTGGCAAGAAGAAGCCCCTGAAACAGCCCAAGAAGCAGGCCAAGGAGATGGATGAGGAAGATAAGGCTTTCAAGCAAAAACAGAAAGAGGAGCAGAAGAAACTCGAGGAGCTAAAAGCAAAGGCAGTGGGGAAGGGCCCCCTGGCCACAGGTGGAATTAAGAAATCTGGAAAAAAGTAAGCTATTCCTTGTGCCTGAAGTGATGATGCCCTTGATTTCATTCCTAGCTAAACATCTCGATTCCCGGCCATAACATCTTATGCCACCCGTAGTTAGAATGAAGTGTTAAGAGTTAAGTGTTATCTTGGAGCCTGTTGTAGATTTACAAATAAAATTTTGTAAAAAGGGGAATAGACCCCACTGTACTGTAAAAATAAATAAATAAATAAATGGGATTACATCAAACTAAGCTTCTGTACAGCAAAGGAAACAACAAAGTAAAGAGGCAACCAAAAGAATGGGAGAAAATATTTGCAAACTATACATCTGATAAAGGATTAGTATCAAGAATATATAAAGAGTTCAAGAAACTCAACAACAGAAAAATAAGCAATCCAGTTAAGAAATGGACTAAGGATATGAAAAGACATTTTTCAAAGAATGAAATACAAATGGCCAACAGACACATAAAAAGTTGTTCAGGATCATTAATCACCAGGAAGATGCAAATAAAAACCAGTTAGAATGGCTATCACCCAAAAGTCAAAAAATACCAAATGCTGCCTAGGATGTGGTGAAAAAGTACTCTAATGCACTGTGTGAATGTAAACTCATACAACCACTATGGAAGACAGTATGGAGCGCAGATTCCTCAGAAATCTGAAAGCAGATCTACCATACGACCCAGTCATCCCACTCCTGGGAATTTACTCAAAGAAAATGAAATCAACATATGAAAATGTTGTCTGTTGGGGTCGTCATTGTAGCATAGCAGGTAAGCCACCACCTGTGACGCGGCATCCCATATGGGCACTGGTTCGAGACCTGGCTGCTCCACTTTTGACCCAGCTTTCCACTAATGTGCCTGGGAAATGAGTGGAAGATGGCTCCAAGTTCATGGAAAATGTGTACTACAAAAAAACTGCATAGATTCCAAAAGCTTTTGCACTAAGTTTATCTTTTAATTTCATTTTTCCACGAATATTTTGGAGTCTCCCCCATAGAAGAGGCCCAAGAGATTTCTATTGGGTACAGTGTTTTCAAAGGAAAAATAAAACCTTGACTGACTTCCCTCTTCTCTGACCACACTGGGCTAATCTCCATCCTTTCTCAGATATGCACTCATACTCCCATTCTTCGACAGGTATACACAAGCAAATGTGAAGGAAATGTAAAATTAAAATATGAAAAGTAGGGGTCAGCATTGTGGCATAATTGGTTAAGCTGCTGCCTGCAACACTGGCATCACATATGGGCCCCAGTTCAAGTCCCAGCTGCTGTCATTTCTGATCCAGTTTCCTGCTAGTGTACCTGGGAAAGCAGAGGAAGATGGCCCAAGTGCTTGGGGCCCTGCATGCACATGGGAAAGTTGGATGAAGCTCTCGGCTCCCAGCTTTGGCCTGGCCCACCCCTGGCCATTGCAGCTATTTGGGGAGTGAACAAGCAGATGAAAGATTTTTTTTCTCTGTCTCTCTGTAATTTTACCTTTCAAATAAACAAAATAAATCTTAATATGAAAAATTAACTTCATTAACCCAAATGTACACTGGGTTACCTTGAGAATAGAAAACAGTACCCAACCTAGCACTGCTATTGCCAGAATTTTATCTTTGATCCATCTCATTTCTCTATCTCTGCCTCGAGGGAGACATTGGACTTGATTCCACACTCTACATCGATAGCTCCCAATCTATATTTCTTGGTCTGAATATCAACCTTCTCTCATGGCTCTGTTCCCAAGCCAGCAAGGTTATAAATTAGACTGAAGTCTTCCCTTGGTCTTTCAACACAAATGCACAGAGCAACTACAAACAATTAGCAGTTGCCAGAGCATAAATCAAATCTAGCAAGGAAAGGACAGCTGAACTCCAACACATGTGGTCGAGTCGTTAACAAACTTGTTTTAGCCAAGAAACCCTCTGTTCAAACAAAATATGACTCAGAAACACAATATGCAAAATTAAGAATAACACATCTGTTCAGGTTGCAGAAGTAGCCAACAGAAAGGAACCCTCAGCTGGAAGCTGGACCCCCTCCCACTATCCACCCACTCTGCGTATGCCCTGGAGCAGCCCCTGAGGGCTCCTTGAAACCTCCAGAGGACTGCAAAACAATTCAAACACTGCTGATCACGATCCATGAAAATGTTTTCTATACATTTTTACACTTTTTAAATAAAAAATAAACAGTTAAAATAAAACTGGAGAAAGCTAATTAGTAGGTGAGAATCTCTATGAGAGTTAAAAATGACAAATAACAAATGTCAGAGGTATATATTGTGGTACAACAAGTTAAGTCATTGCTTGGGACACATGCTTTCCATCTCAGAGTGCCTGGTTCAACCCAGCTACTCTGTGCTTCAGATCCAGCTTCCTGTTAATGTGCCTGGGAGGCAGGGAATGATGACCCAAGTATTTAGTTCCAGTCACCCACATAGGAGACAAGGATGACGGTTTTAGCTCTTGGCTTTGGCCTTACCCAGACCTGACTACTGTGGGCATCTGCAGATGAAAGATCTCTCCCTGTCATTCTACTTTTCCAACAAGTAAATCTTCAAAACACACACACACACACACAATGTCATTAAATGCAAGGTCAGTTCTAAGGAGTCCACAAAAATCAGTCTTTTTCAGGTCCTATGTCAATCATCTCATCACATAAAGTTGACAACTCAATCTACTTAAGGAAACATAATAAACAAGGCTACAGCTATAAGTTACATTAGAGGAAACAGATTGTTTGAGAGTCAGATTATTGTCTTCAACAAATATACTATATGATGCCACAATAATCAAAAACATGAAACAAGTTTGTTAATTAACTTGTTGGTTGCAATTATATCAGCTTGATTGAACTGGTTTTGACACTGTATAAACATAAGCTTAGTGAATTCCTTGGGGAGTTAAAGAAAAAGTTAGTGAAAATTCACTCAACTATTGGGAAAGCTTCTCACATAGTGAATGGGCACTATATAGAGAAAATACTAAAAAAAATTAAGAAATGGGGAAAAATACATCACTTTTAATCTTTGTATATATGTGATGAAGATATCATAACAACCATTTGTTTCACTAAGATTTTTCCTGAAGAAGCATAAAGCTGTTATTACATGAATCAGTGCCTCTCAACTCTGGCAGGAGATAAAACTCACAAGGTAGCCTTAAAGAACTGACCTTGGGGCCATAGTGGTTGTCTCCACCTGCAATGTCAACATCCCGTATGTTTGAGACCTGGCTGGTCCACATCTGATCCTGCTCCCCGCTAATGTGGCTGGGAAGACAGTGGAAGATGGCCCAAGTACTTCGGCCCCTGCACCCACGTGGGATACTGGAAGAAGCCCCTGCCTCAGGGCTTTGGCATGGCCCAGCCCGGGCCATTGCAGCCATATGGGGAATGAACCAGCAGACAGAAGATTCTCTCATTCTCTTATGCTCTCATTTTCTCTCTCTTCTGTCTCTGTAATTCTGCAACTCTGCCTTCCAAGTAAATAAATTGGCTGCAATGGCTGGAGCTGCACCAGTATGAAGACAGGAGCTTCTTCCCGGTCTCCCATGTGGGTGCAGGAGCCCAAGGAATTGGGCCATCTTCTACCACTTTCCCAGGCCACAAAAGAGAGCTGGATCAGAAGTGGAGCTGCCAGGACTTGAACCGATACCCATATGGGGTGCCGGCACTGCAGGTGGCAGCTTTACCTGCTACACCACAGAGCCAACTCCTTGAGGCTGGTTTTTTGAAAGTTATCTTGTTGCCCATCTCTGTCTAAAGAAGTATTTCTGCATTCTCTCTTAAAGCTGATTCAACCTTGTTGTGAGTTTCAGCCTTTGGTTTTCTGATGCTTTTCTGATCGAACACAAATGTGGTTGTTTTGAAGTTACTGATTCAAAAAGCTGAAATTGCCATTTTGAGAAATACAACTGCTTTCAATATATAAATATGAGTTCATTTCCACAGAAAGCATTTCATCAGGCAAAATAAATTACAAAACAATGCCATTTGGCCCCAAAATAAGCTCTTAGTTCATAATATGTCAAGTAAACCATAAAATGGTATATTCTACTCATGAATATTTTGAAAAATTATAGTCTACAAATGTTTTGTGATAAATTTCAAGCATTAGCGTACCTAACATTTTGTCTTACTCTTCTGTTTTCATTTATTAACAGAGAGCCATAGGCAGAATTTGGGGGACATGGTTGCTGATTTACAGTAATTTGGAAGTTTTAAAACTAGGTTCGGGACTTCCCTCCAATTTCAAGTGCCTAATTCTATTAGAGGCTCAGAAACAAGAGCTCTTTTCCACACCCAGAAAAAGGAGCTATTTTCAAGACATACGGGTACCCCTAGAAATCAAAACATTAGAAGCTCTCTTCACTAAGGCAATTAGAAGTCAGTTGCCTTTCTTGGTTGAATCACACTCAGATTTCCTGCTTCCTTTCCTTAGAAGCATTTGGCTTAGTGGTTAACACCTCACGAGGAAAGCTCACATCCAGTATCAGAGTGCTGGATTCAAGTGCCACCTCCAAGCCCAAATCCAGCTTCCTGCGAATGTGCACCCTGGGACACAGCAGATGATGGCTCGATTATTTGGGTACCTACCAGCCATGTGGGAACCTGGATTGGATTCCAGACTCCTGGCTTCAGCCTGACCCAGCTCTGGCTGCTGGAGGCACTTAGGGGAGTGAATCAGTGAACAAGAGCTGTCTGTCTGCCTATTTGTGTCTCTTTCTCTGCCTCTCAAATAAATAAATAAATAAATAAAATTTTAAAATAGAGCAAGATCTAATGAAGCTTTAACAACAACAACAACAACAACAAAAAACCTGAATGCAAAATATTTCCTGGCACTTTTACTGTATTTTTCTAGACTTTTACAGCTGTCTATATACCACAGCTTAGTAGTAGTTTATTCATGCGGCTTTTTAAATTTGACATAAAATTGATATAACATAAACTTCACTATTTTAATCATTTTACAGTGTACAATTCAGCAGCTTTTAGAATAATTGCAGCACAGTGCAATC